CAAGCAGCGTGGCTGGGAGCCCAGGTCTCATGCTGGTCAGGAGGGTCAAGTCCATCCTCTTGCTCAGGCAGCTCACCCCTCTCAGCCCTGTGTCTGGGAGTCCCGCCCTCCTGGCCACACTCACACACCTGGAGCCCCGTTGGTCATGCTGAACCTGGGTGAGGCAGGCACAGTGCTTCATCCGGGGCTGACCAGAGACCATAGGGTGGAGCCAGGAGATGGCCTTGCTGTTGGTCAGGAGGTCCCCTGGCCTCTGGGATGACCACATCTGTGGCTACAGGTAGATGGGATCTACATGTCTCTTGGCATGGCCCACAAGGCATGTGGCCTTCAGCCCCTGCCCTCTGTCTAGCATCTGATCAGAGGATGCCACTAGGAAACCGACGGGAACTTCTGGGGTGCCAGCTAGAGTCCCCTTGGTGCTTGGGGACTTCCTACACACCTGGAGGGCACAAGGGCAAGGCCAGATGGAAAGCCAAACCAACGTGCTTCCCAGTCCACCCGGAGTCCTGGGGACGCCGTGTGTCAGCGTAGAATGGTGCTGTGCTGGAATGAGGCTCCTCAGGGATCTTTCTCCTCACATGCCTCTGGCTGGAACTGAACCTCTGGCCTTTCAGGTAGCAGCTAAGTGCTGGCCGTCGACCCCTCTCAGGGTTCATGCAACCAGAGAAAGGTTGCTAATGCTTGGCCCCTGTCTAGATTGTCACCCAGCTGTGGTGTAGCTGTTGTCACGACGCACCCTGTGCGGGCCTGAGGGAGGGAACACCCCACCTTGCCACCGTCCATCTTTAATGTAGCCCTGTGAGATTTGCGCTGTTCCCTGGCCTTCCTTTGATGGTGAGGACACGAAGTCTTTAACATTTTAAAATCTGCAATGCACACACACACACACACACACACACACACACACAATGTGAATGCCTTCCACACTACACCCATAGGTCATATGGCACAGTAACACTCCCCCCAGACAGTTGGTAAGAGAATGGACACCCTGGGGCTATGTCAGTGGTCCACAGCTCTGTCCCTTCCCAAAGTGCCCCACCCCAGCCCAGCCGATCAGGCCTGAACTATGAGGATCAGATGGCAGGTCCCCCAAACAGAAAGCAATCAGCACATGGCCTTATACATGTTGGCAAGGATTCCCAGGGCAAGCCAGGTGGAGACGAGACTTGACTTCAGACCCCATGGTACCGTCTTCCCCACAAGCACAACAAGCCATGTGGTCCTGGCCCTGCTCAGTCAGGGAGGGCCTCGGCTGATGGTGTGAAGGAGGGAGCCTGGCTCAGGCCCACCTCCTGCTGCATGGCTGCCTCCTGCACCCCCACCACTCCCCTCTTCCCCAGTGACCACCGCAGGGCTCACATCCTGAGGGGGGCCCTAAAAATCCGGCTGTTGATGCAAACACACATGCCCTTTGACACAGGAAACTCGGCCACACGTTCGCATGGTCGCCGCCAGCAACCCTCCTCCCCACCCAGCAAGCCAGAGGGGAGCGGATCTCATATTTTCACCTAAATTAGGAAACATGTGTGTCCTCTCTCCCTCGCCCCTCTCTTCCCTGTCCCAAGCACGTCTCAATAGACCCCCTACTTAACCTCTGGCCTCCCTTCCTACCTAGGGTGGGTGGCTCCCCGTTCAGGAAGCAGGGGCCCAGCTCCGGTGGGCTCTGTGGAGGCGTGGGAAAGCAGGGGAATGGTATGTTGTAGAAGCCACTTCCCCGGGTCGAGTTGGGGCCTCCGGAGACAATGCACAGGGGCTGGGGCCCCTGTGGATCTCAGTTGAACAGCGGATACTCCTTACTTAAGCCCCAGCCATGGCCATGGGGCGGTTTTGGGCTGCTAGCTGCAAGGTTGGAGGTTGGAAACCACCAGTCACTCCGTGAGAGAAAGATGAGGCTTGCTCCCCCCACAAAGAGTTACAGTCTTGGGAACCCACAGAGGCAGTTCGTCCTAGAGGGTGGGGCAGCCGTGAGTGGGCATCGACTTGCTCGCAGTGCGTTTGGTTTGGTGTTCGGTTCCTAAGGAGAGGCTGGTGGGTTTGAACTGCCGATCATCGTCCACGGGTGCAGCAAAGTCCAAGGCGCCATGTGGACTCCTTCGAAATCTAAGGGTGCCCTACACCTGGCAGAGTGTACACTTTGAGGACACTCTGAGGGAGCCTCAAAAAGTCCTTTGAAAATCAGGATGGAATTTCTCCGGAAACCTTTTGCAGCGTCCACGTTTCCCTGGGCCTCAGCTTCCCCTCCACAGCCATGTCTCAGCTGACGTCCTCTGGCCACCCTAGCCCCGAGGCCCCGCTGGCTAAGCTCAGAGCCACCACGTGGGA